CACCTGTGAAGAGACCCCATGAAGCCAGATTCAGCCTATGGCATCTCATTTTCCACCTAATTTAGTAATCCAGTTGGAAAAGAGTTCTTGCAGAAAAATGATCATTTCAAAACATAATGAACACATTATATGAAGAGCAAAGCTTTAAAGTCATATTTGGGGAAAGTAGGAGCTTTATGATTATGATTTATGATTTAATGGTCCATAAAAATGAATCAGAGGCAGGCTCAGTCATGCAACTCTTTGTGACCCCATAGACTGTAACTCACCAGGCTCCTTTGTCCAGGGAATTCACCAGGCAAGAATACTGGAGTGGGTAGCCATTCCCTTCTCCAGGACATCTTCCCAACCCAGGGATCAAACCTGGGTCTCCTGCATTGCAGGACCATTTCTTACCATTTGAGCCACCAGGGAAACCCCATTACATGCAGAGCAAAGCTTTAAAGTCACATTTGTGGAAAGTGGGAGCTTTATGATTGTGATTTAATGGTCCATAAAGTGAATCAGAGACAGACAGAGTTAAGTTTGCAAAGAGCACAGTAGATCTTAGGGAACCTGAGGACAGCAGCACCAGCTCCCTGCAGGATCCTGGCCCTCTCTCCTCAAGCCCCAAGCCCCACCACTGCAGGCATTCAGGTCCTCTCAGGTCCAGAATAAGGACACAGTGCAATAGAGGAAGAGTTTCAGATAATCTCCCTGATGACGTCCCTTGAGAGGACATATCAGCCACTGTCACCTTCAGGTTTCACAATATTTCCCCCTCCTTCCATTGGCTCCTGTCACTCACACTCAGGACAGCCCAGCCCCTCCCCTGACATCCATGGGGTCTGTTTAATATGCAAGATGGATGGGTGTCTGTCCTTCCCTCATGGTGCAAACAGAGAGGAGGCCATGGGCTGTGTGGCCTGTGTCTCTGCAGGACATCATGACCAGGAGATGAGACCAAGGCTGCTCTGAGATGGGCAGGGAGCTGACCAACACCTAAACAGATGCTGTCCTTGATCATCCATATTTCCCAGCCTGCAGCCTTGAGGGCCCATGTCAAGCCAGGCTGCTCAGTGACCCCAGCAGCTAACCCTGGCTGTGTTCCTGGAAGCTTCTCTCTGTGACCTGGGCTTGCCCTTGGTCACAGGGTGCTTGGACCAAAGGCAGCAGATGAGCCTGAACACCATGAGGCCGACCAGCCTGAATCACCTGTCCACAGGGCAGTAGGATGAGAAGAAGACCTGCCTATGAGTCCACCTGTCCGAGAGTAGCAGTGGGGTGACTCAGGCACACCCCCATACCAGGAGCCTCCAGGCTCAGGGTCAATGAGGAGTGGAGAGCAGTGCTCGGAGGGCCCCAGGGTCCCTGAAAATGGAGTCATCTGGAAAAGATCTGACAACTAAGGGCGGTTAGGATTTTTCAAAGAAATAAAGAAAGGACCATGATGCATAAAAGGAACAGAAAATTATAAATCAAAATATTCATAGCAGCATTAGCCACCATCACCAAAAGAATCCATCAGGGATGAAGGGAAAAACAAAGTGGTTTATCTTCAATCAGGAGATACTCTTCAGTCTTCATAGAATACTCTTCAGTCTTGAAAAGGATGGAAACTCTGACGCTTGCTACAACATGAAGGAAGCTTGAAGACATCGTGGTAAGTGAAAGAAGCCAGACGCTAAGGGACAAATGTATGGTCCCACTCGCAGGGGGTCCTTAGAGTAGTGGAATCCATGGAGACCAAAGGAGAATGGTGGTTGTCAGGGTCTGGGGGAGTGGGATGTGGAGTTGTCTAATGGGGACTATAAAAGGTTTGCCTTGATAAAAGGTTTTGGAAATAGTGAAGAGTGCAGATTATGAATGTCTTTAATGACACTGGGTCCTGGCCTCGCATGGGTCTCTCAGAACCACCCTCCACCCACTGCGTCCCCACCAGGTGCAGGGGAGGGTCCAGGGCTTGACTGACAATCTAAATCCGACTCTGAAGCTCAGTGTCCGGGAAACTGAGGGGTGGTGGAGTGCAGAGGGCGAAGGGAAGCAGAGACGCTCCGCGGTGGGGCCAACCAGGCTGGACTGAACTTCACCCCACGGATGCGTCTGGGGTCCCAGCTGCGATCGTGATCTGCCCTCTCGCTTGGCCACCCCCCGCTACCGCCCCTGCTGCCCTCCCCTCCTCGGGCCTCCGTGGCTCCCCCCACCGCAGCGCATCCTTGCCCCCTCTCCAGCCGCCCCCCTCCCCCGGGTTATTAATATCCGGGCCGGGCGCTGGGCCGCCGCGCATTCCCAGCTGGCAGTAGGGCAGGTGGCGGCGACGACAGGGGCCTGGGCGCGGAGCGCGGCTCTCCGGGCGAGACCGGCGGGCGGGCTCCCCTCCACCACGCGCCCCTGGGAGCCCCCACGTCCTCTGCGCGCCTCTACCGGGCAGAGCCCTCGGAAAGGTTTCCGTGCCGCGCTGAGCGTTTGGAGACGCTTGGCGACGAAGCGCCAGTCCAGAGCGCGACCCCGGGGGGCTCGGCGACCACACCCGACTGCCTGGTGACGGAGGTGGGCGTAGGCACTGCGAAGGTGCGGGGCGGGAGCAGGGGCCGGGACCCGGGGCGCGGGGCGCCCTCCCCGCCGGCCCGCGCCGTCCCCGGCAGGATCTCTCGGCCACGAAGCCCTCCCAGCGCCCCCTGGGGAGATGCGCGGCGCTTCGGAGGGTGGCGAGCGGTGAGGTGTGCGCGGTGGGCTCGGCGGCTGTTTCGCGTCCCTCCTGGGAGGTCCTCCGCCAGGTTCACGGCAGCCCCTGCGGGAGGGCTCTGGAACCCCGACCCACTGGAGGCTGCGGCCGTGGAGGGAGCCTCGAGCCGGTAGGAAGGACCCCAGCTTCCCTTGCCAGGCCCGATGCTGGGCCAGGTCCCACGGGCAGGGGGGCCTAGGACAGCGTCTCTGCACCCAGGTTGCCCATCTGCACCGAGGGCTCAGACCACGCCACGCCGGTTGGACACCCCGAGTTTATCCATCTTAGTGCGAACGCTGTACCTGTAGAGGGAAAAAACCGGGAGCCAGTTTTATCGGGCCACATTATCCCTGGATGTGGGGAGATCGGGAGATAAAGGGGCCTCTCCTCTCATTCAAGTATTCAAGTTTTAGCTCTTTTTTTTTTTTTTTCTTATGAGGGTAATTTTCAACAGTAAGCACGGGTCATGGGTATGCAACTCCAAGAGTTTTTACATGTCTGTGCTTAGTCGCTTAGTCCTCTCTGACTCCTGGGGTCCCCATGGACTGCATAGCCCGCCAGACTCCCCTGTCCATGGGGAGAATACTGGAGTGGGTTGCCATGCCCTCCTCCAGAGGATCTTCCCAACCCACGGATCAAACCCAGGTCTCCCGCATTGCAGGCGGATTCTTTACTATCTGAGCCACCAGGACACCTGTGTAACCAGCGCCACGTGAGGACATAGCAAAAGTCCATTCCCCCGAGTGCTCTCTGGTGCCCCCTACCAGTTGGCACCCTCTTCAACCACTGGTAGAGATGTTGCCTTTTCCCCAGCTTCAGGGAAAGGGAATAACAGTGTGTACTCTTCGTGTATGCTTCGTTTCTTCCCCGCCCCCCACCCTCCCAACTCAACAGAGCATATTTGAGTTTCATCAAGTTGTTGGCTGTTCAATAATTTCATTTTCTTCATCGCCTTGGAGCATTTTTATGGGGGAGGGGGGTGTCACAGTTTCTTTATCCACACTACTATTCATGAACGTTTGGGTGTTTTCCAGTTTCTGACTGCTATGAACGTTCTCACTCTTGCTTTTTGCGGCCATTTGCACTTATTTTTCTTGGCATAAACTTAAGAGTAGAACTGCTGGATGAGAGCACAGACGCGTGTCCAACTTTACCGAAGGTGCCAGAGTGTTTGCCACAGGCGGCTGCACTGTTCTCGTCCTCCACTAGCAGTTCAGGAGTTCATTTCCTTCATGTCCTCCCAGCAGTTTTATGAATTTCCTGTTCAAATTTTGTCTTTTTTTTTCTTTCAGTTGAGTCATTGGTCTTTATTGATTTGTAGTTCTTTCACGTATTTTGATTACTAGTTCTTTGTCTGATATGTGTCTTCAGATAATCTTTCCCAGTCCATGGTTTACATCTTTTACTCTCAGTGAAGTTCTTAATTTTCATGAAATCCAATTGGTGGGTCTTTTACTACAAGTACTTTATGCTCTTTTTTTTTTTTTTGAGAAATTTTTGTTTACCCACAGTCGTGCAGATATTCTCCTACATTTCTTCCAGAGCTTGATTAATTAATTGATTTAATCTATTACATACAGGTACACAGTCCACCTTGAATTGTTTTCTTGTGTGGTGGGAGAAAGGAGTCAGGTTTATTTCCCGCATGTGAATAAAGGAAGATTATGAGGGCTTTGCCCTCTTTATGTAACTTATTTTCCTATTTGAACTTTAAAGTTGCAATCTTACTTTTGCAATCTGAACAAAATGTATTTTTAAAAAACATACAGGAGAACTAAATGGGGAGGAAGACACAGGGGTCAGCCCGGCTTCCCTGCCCTTCATGGATGAGAAAGTGAGGAGGCCTAGTGAGGACTGCTGGTTCATCCAGGAGTGAAGCATCCTGGATTATGCCTGCTGTGGCCTGATTTTCAGGAAAGGCCATCCAGCTGAGAGGCCTTTGAACTTGCATTGTGGCCCAGGGTGGGAGTGCTAGTGGGGCATGCACGGGGGCGACTGGTCTGGGTGGTTCTCTGGTCTCCCTGGATAGCTGGGGAACTGAGGCAGAGTGTTAGAGTTCTGCACTGGAGAGTCCCCAAGGGGGTGTCACAGTTGGTGAGCCCTGTCCCTCTGCAGGCCTCCCCAGCCCGGTGAGAACTGTGGCCTCTTATGGCCTCTTGGGAGTGGGAAGGGGTGCCTGACCTGCATATTTAATGAGCATCCTCTCCCGCAGGACAAGCTTGTTACCCACAGATGCCCCCTCTCTGCCTAAAGGAGCAGCCGGCCCCAGCCCCAAGCCCAGTGTGAGGTGGCAGAGATGGCACTGAGCCCAGAGCCATCGAGCAGGTTCCCGGTGCTGGCTACGATGGGCAGCGCCATGCCCGAGCTGCCTGGTGCCCCCAATGCGTCCTTCAACAGCTCGTTGGCCAGCCCAACGGAGCCCAACTCCCTGGAGGACCTGGTGGCCACGGGCACCATCGGGGTGGTGCTCTCGGCCATGGGCGTAGTGGGCATGGCCGGCAACGTGTACACGCTGACGGTCATGTGCCGCTTCCTGCACGCCTCGGCCTCCATGTATGTCTACGTCATCAACCTGGCGCTGGCAGACCTCCTCTACCTGCTTAGCATCCCCTTCATTGTAGCTACCTACGTCACCAAGAGGTGGAACTTCGGTGATGTGGGCTGCCGCATCCTCTTCAGCCTGGACTTCCTGACCATGCACGCCAGCATCTTTACGCTGACCCTCATGAGCAGGGAGCGCTACGCCGCCGTGGTGAGGCCTCTGGACATGGTGCAGCGTTCCAAGGGCTACCGCAAGGTCCTGGCGCTGGGCACGTGGCTGCTGGCACTGCTGCTGGCACTGCCCATGATGCTGGCCATCCGGCTGGTCCGCAGGGGCCACAAGAGCCTCTGCCTGCCGGCCTGGGGCCAGCGCACCCACCGCGCCTATCTGACGCTGCTCTTTGGGACCAGCATCGTGGGGCCCGGCTTGGTCATTGGGCTGCTCTACGTCCGCCTGGCCCGGGCCTACTGGCTGTCGCAGCGGGCCTCCTTCACGCAGACGCGGCGGCTGCCCAACCCCAGGGTGCTCTATCTCATCCTGGGCATCGTGCTGCTCTTCTGGGCCTGCTTCCTGCCTTTCTGGCTGTGGCAGCTCCTTGCCCAGTACCGCGGGGCTCCACCGCTCACTCCCCGCTCCGCCCGCATCGTCAACTACCTGACCACCTGCCTCACCTATGGCAACAGCTGTGTGAACCCCTTCCTCTACACGCTGCTCACCAAGAACTATCGTGACTACCGCCAACGCTCGCTCCACAGCAGGGGCACCGGTGGGCCTGTGGGCGTCCGCAGCCTCCCGCAGGGCCACACCCCCTGCCAGCGTGGCTCCGGTCGCTCCGTGTCCTCCAGCAGCCAGCAGGCCACTGAGACCATTGCGCTGTCCCAGGCGGCCTGTGGGAGTCTCTGCGTCTGAGCAGCCCCAGCCTCCCTGTGGGCCCTGGGGGTAGGCCGTGAGGAGTGGCCCCCAGAGCCCAGGTCCTTCCTGGACCACCCTCACCACTGTCTGCTGCCCTCCCCCAGTCCTCTTCCAGAAAGCTCCGGGCTCTCCCTCACCCCTCACTCACTTCAGCTCCATCAGCGCAGCCGCTTTCCTCATAACGCCAAGAAGTGCCCCCTGCCCTGTCCATCTGTGAGGGTCTGCAGGAGGCTCGGGCCCAGGGCCAGCTCCTAAAGACCGTGGTGAGTGGAGTCTTCAGCGGCCCCCTGCAGACGTGAGTGCGTACCTGACGTGTGACCGGGTACACTGTGGCAGGTGACACCATGTCCCCACACACGCTGCCTGCCTGGGACCCTCCTCCTGGCACGAGCGCGGCCCCGGTGGCACCCATTCCTCCCAACTGCCATGAGGTTCCATCCCTCACAGCTTCAGCACCTGGAACAATAAACGCCGAGCTCCCTGAGCCTTGTCTGCCGCAGCAGTGTGGGTGGGCTGTCAAGGGAGGCAGGACCGCCAGGACGACCTCCTGCACTTGGAGGAGCCTGTCTGCCTGACCGGGGAGGGGACACGTCCAGCCATGGTGGAGGGTGCCGTCCGGCCTGAGCCAGGCCCTGGCTGTGGGGGCTGAGACCCTGGGGCGACTGAGGCGGGGAGCCACCGGCCTCAACCTGCTCAGGGAGGACGGGTGGCTGGGACAGCACTCCAGGGCAGGAACTTGGAGCCCAAACTGAAACCACGAGCCAGAATTACTCTCCTATTTGCAGCTCACCTGCCTCTCCCTCCCCAGACCTTGGGGGGACGGTGGGGGGTGGATCACATACAACACACGTAGGGGTTTAATCTCATGCCTCCTGTGTACAGCATCCCGGTTGGACCTCCTGTGGACACCAAGACCATCAGGCCCTGCCCACAGAGAGCCAAACCCACGGGGAAAGGTTTTGGACCTATCCCAACACCTATCCCACTCTCTGGCAACCAGTTCACTCCACACATGCCCCTAATTCACATCCCACATCTGGGCCCCAGCCAAGGTTGCACGCACACAAGACTCAAGGCCTTGACTGGATCCTAATGTGTGGGCAGGAGGAGATCTGGCCCCTAAGTATGGAGTGTGAGGGGCCCCACTTGGGACCCTCAATGTTTTGGGAAGAAAACAGCCCAAAATCTGCACCTTGATCAAGACCCCAGGTCTCTGCTTCCTGAATCCTGACTCCAGGATTTACCCAGAAGGCCCCAAACTTGGAAAACAGAGGCCCTCCCCCACCCAAGTGTCCCTGTAGTCCCCATTCATCTGCACATGTGAAGGTATTCTTTGCACTATTTCTTGGCGTGATGCTGAAGAACTTACATTTTTGGCCCCAAATTTAAGACCTGAGTACCCTGGTTAATGCTCCCAGGTGGGCTGGCTGAGCTTCCACTGCCAGGCCTGGGACAGCTGCGGGGGCTGTCTTCCCACCTCCCACTTAGAAGTGCCCCCCACCATCCTGCCAGCCTCTGGGGAGCCTCATGATAACAGCCTGAGTGTTTCAGAGTGCTTAAAAATGTCCAGCAGGCTCTCACGCCTGTGTACTCACACAGCCACGTGGAGACTCCTGGCCTACTACATCTTGGCCGACCTCCCTGAATCCACCGCCCACAGCCCCTCCCTCTCCCCTCACCACAGGCCCCCAAGACCCACCAGTCAGGGACCGGTGATTTATGGAGGCTTAGTCTGGCTCAAGACCCACAGTCATCTGCCCATCAGGCATGGTGCCTGGCCCTTGGCAAGCCGGACAGCAGAGAGCCCTGGGGTGAGGGGCCAACCGGGGCGAGCTTGTGTGTGGCTAGAATAGGGCTCTAGAATAGCAGGTCAGGGCTCCTGTTCAAATGCTACAGCTTTATTGGGGCAGTTTCACACCATAAAACTCACCCACTGAAAGTACAAGTAATGATTTTCAGTGAAAGGACAGAGTCATGTAACCAACATCACAGTTCAGTCTCTGGGCATCTGTCAGCCCGGGTGTGCGTGCTCAGTCGTGTCTGACTCTTTGTGACCCCATTGGACTATAGAGCCCGCCAGGCTCCTCTGTCCTGTCAGGCAGGAAGCTCCAAAGAAATCAACCAATAAGACAGATGTATAATATTAAAACGTTCTTTGAAGGAATAGGCATAGTGATTAAGGGACTGGCATGTCTGGGATCCATTGGCAGGTGGGGCAGCAGGCCTTCGGGCTGGAAACTCAGGCAGAAGACACTGCAGCCTTGGGGCAGAATTCCTTCTTTCCCAGAAGTCTCAGTTTTTACTGGAAGACCTTTAAGTGCCTGGAGGAGCCCCACCCACCATGTTCCGGGAACAGACGCCCTTTTGTAGCGTGGGCAGAGCTGAATGTGCCCCCGTGGATGAACACATGTTGGTTGTGGGCATTTGAGGTACTTCCACCTTTTCCCTAAGTGAACAGGGCCACCGTGACTACCCGTGTGGCCGTGCGTCTGCTGCCCCTCCAGTCACCCTGCGTGAGGGCTCCTGGCCTCTTGGCTTCATCCTGCCCACCCTGCCCTCGCTCTGGGCAGGCACCGTTTTATGACAAAAGAGCAGCTGTTCTGGGTAAACTCGGATTAGAAACAGGTGGCCCTATGATGGTGACCGTCTCTCAGAGTCAGGCATCTGCAGGGCTGGGGCCCTAGGCCTTGCTCAATGGGTGGTGGCAGGCTGGTGGGGGGCAGGGGCACCCTCCTTCCCATCCGTATCACCTTGGCTCCCAACAGGGGTGAGTCCAGGCTTCCTTACCTCCAGCTCTGTCCCAGGAACCTGGAGCATCCCCACCTGGTAACGTGTACCGAGGGAGGGGCAGGCAGCAGGACCCCTCAGGAGAAAGGGACATCGTCATGGCCACCTTCACTGTGGATCGTCTTGGTTCTACGGGTCATCTGAACCCTTATGACCAGTTTCCCATGTCCCCAGAAAGGCACTGGACAGGTCACTACCCCACATCCCCATGAGCTGGGGAAGGCCATGACCAGGTCTCCTGTCCCCTGTCCCCAGGAAGACAATGACCAGGCACATCCACAGGCCTCACATCCTGCTGGGAGGCTGGGGCTTCTCCAAGTGCCGAGTATTTCCCAACAGTTCAAAGGCAGGGAGGAGGGCTTTGAACCCAGGGTTCGCTCTGCAAATTGCCTTGTGTTATCTGGAGCTTAAGACCACAGGGCTTTGCTGGAGATCTGGCAGTGTGGACACCATGGGAGGCAGTGTGGATGCCATGGGAGCAGGTCATAGGGAACAGAGCCAGGGAAGCCCCAAAGGATTGTTCACCCCTGGGCGCTGGGGCCCTCTTACCTTAACCCCCACACACCGCAACCACAGTTGGGGCCTGATAAACCCTGGGGCCTGTGGTGAGGGGCCTTGTCCTGCAGAGCCCTCCCTGGGGTGGGCTGCTCCCCGCCTGCCTCCTGTCCCTTCCCTGCCTGACGCAGAATCTCAGGCCCCCACAGGTGCCACTGGGCCTGGGCCTCTGCTCAGGCATCCTTCCCGCATTGTCAGGGTCCCCAGTGACCCAAGAGTCTGCACTGGACGTCCTGGATGACAGCCTCTGCTCCTCCTGAGCAGGGGACCACCAGGCTTTACATGCAACTGGGGAGGGAGGGAGCGGGACATGGGCCACCACTCCAGAAAATGGTGACAGTGTCCCTGTCCACTCCACAAGCATCAGACCCAAACTGAGCTGCTGAAACCAGGTGGAGGTCTCACCTGGGGCCACCGCCTTGCTGGGCAGAGGGGCCAGTAGGGAGTGTGGAAAAGGGAGGAGGGAGGGAGGAGGAAAGGGGAGGGATGGGGGAAGAGAGGAGGAGGACGGGATGGCAAGTGAGTAGGGAGGATGGGAGGTGCAGTGGGTGCTCCTCTGCAACAGCACAGGATGTCAGGGGCTAAGAGCACCTGCTGTCTGAGTCCAGCCCAGGCCTCCGGGGCTGTGGTGGTTAGCAGTGGGGATGAGCAGGCTGTCGACTGTCTGATGGAGGAGCATTCAGGCTGAAGGTCACCCAGGGTGATGGATGAGGTCTCGGCATTTAAATGCCAGCCACCCAACCTCCAGACTTGCAGATGAGGAGCCAAAACGCCAAGGCCAGGCTCAGTGCTGGCCACAGTGCTCCTGACAGCTTACAAAGCACCACTGCACTGACTTGGGTCCCTGACCACTGCCCAGGGCCACTGCCAGCCCCCACCCTGCATTGGGGGAATGAATTTCTTTTCATAGAAGATTGCCGGGATCCTTCTGTGAGACACTAACTGTGCTCCAATGGAATGTTTTGTGAATGTGGATTTTGTTCCAGCAGGGCTCCCGTGAATCTGGGTTAATAGGGTATACAGGCTGGATAGGGAGGTCTTTTCTAGGGTTGGTACGTGAAGCTCCTCTGGAAGACCTTGGGCACAGGGCCATGGGGACTAGGTGCCCAACTGTATCAGTGCCAGGCCTATGGGCATGTCTCCCCATCCCATCCTCAGCTCCTGCACCCTCTTCCCTGAGTTTTTCCACCCCACTCCCCTCAGTTCCTATAGCAAAAACAAAGAGTGGAGACAGTGATCAGGCAGGCTGTGGGGCCTGTGACTAGGACAGTGGTGGCCAGCACCCACTGGGGAATGAATGAATGAATGTATGAGTGGACAAACTGTGTCCCTCTACTAGGGACCTGCTGCCCTCTCATATTCTGTCGTCGGTCTTCCTGGAGATGGTGGAGGAGGGGGGAAGGAACCAGGGGCGGATGAGTTCACAGCCGAGTTCACAGCCAAGCTCGCAGGAGGCAGGGGCATCCAGGAGCCTAGTGGTGGAGGCTCTGGTGATGGATTTACCAGGTGCAGGCACATTCCTGCCCCGCAGGCCGGACAGTTTCCAAGAGGCTCAACCTTGGCCAGGATTTGGTTGCTGACCCGCGGGCTTTTTCAGACCCAGGAGAGTGGCCTGTCCCAGTCCACAAACTTGTGCCGGGAGTCCCTCCCTCCCA